GCGGCGGCCCCCACCCCGGCGCCTGGCACCACTTCGCTTGTTCACTAACTTTTCTCCTCAAAATTCGCGTGCCTTTTCGGCCGGCGTGGTGGTGCACACCTGTAATCCTACCTCAGGGAGGCTGAGGCAGGAGGAGCGCCCCAAGTTCGACTACAGCCTGTACTACCTTGCCTCAAAAACAGAAAATATTAAAAAGTTCATGTACCTTTGCTGAATTCGTGTTTGAAAACATACTCTTACCGGGAAAGCGTGTATTTTGGAGTCGTTATTGGGTAACACAGGGCATTCTCCATGACCCAAGGTTTTTCAAGTCCATCTCGAACGCAGTCCCCACCCTGGGGCAGCTCGTAGGGAGGGCCCTGCCCGGACGCGAGCCTGGCCTCTACTCCACTCGCAAACAAAGCACTCCTGCGTGGAAGGGCGCGCGACGAGCCCCTCCTCGCTGATCACGCCAAGCCCCGCCAGCTTCCGGGCGCTCCGCGTGCCCGGCTCCCATGGCCACTGCCGTGTCCCGACAGGCCCGGTGCTGGAGATCGGGGCCGCGCGGCCTCCCTTCCTGACCCCGGTGCGGCTCCCCTCGGCTGAGGAGCGCAGGCCTCAGCCTGAGGCCTCAGGCCTGAGCCCTGAGTCGGGCCTCGCTCATCCCAGCGTCAGGCACAGCCGCCGGACTGTCTCGCTAAATTTCCCGGGAGTTCTTTTGTTCTCTGTGGCCGGTGCCCACCTGTCACTGGCCCTTTTTTATGCTGGTCCCCTGTGCTCCGATTTCACCTGCCTCCTCCACTGTCGTGGGCCCAGTTGTCCCCACGGGGTATGCCGAAGTCAAACAGGATCTAGTCAAGAAGAGGTTCGCAAAGCGCCGTGGCACTAGAAGTCCAGCTAGTTAGCAGGCTGAGGCAGGAGGACTGCAAATTCAGGTCTGCTTAGGTAACTTAGCAAGGCCCTGTGTCAAGTTAAATAAAAGGCTGGGGCTTCAGGTGAGTGACAGAGCACTTGCCTAACATGCACAAGGCCCTGGGCTCAGCAACAAGAAGAAAGATGAGGTCGTGCTGGAATAAGGTAGACCCTTAATCCAAGCACTCAGGAGGCTGAGGCAGGAGGACTGCCATGAATTCGAGAACAGCCTTGACGACACAGTGAGTTCAAGGCCAGGTTGAACTACATAGTGACAGCCTGCCTCATATAAATAAATAAATAAATAATAAGTGAAGAAGGCCAGGGATTTAGCTCAGTCATCACAAGTGCAAGGTCCTGAGTTCGATCCCTGGTACCAAAAAAAAAAGAAAAACAAAAACAAAAACAAAAAAAGACAGCCAGGTGTGCAGTGGTGGTAGTACATGCCTGCGTCTCAGCAAGAGGACAGCTAGTGTGATGCCAGCCTGGGCTAGACAGCAAGTCCCAGGCCAGCCTGGAGTGAAATACCCACAAGCCAAGCAATACCAAGGGTATAAGGCAACTTCAGAAGCTAGGAGACAGATGTTTCTAGAGACTTGGGCAGGAGCAGGCCCAGCCAGCACCGTCATTCTGAATATCCAGCCTGCAGAACTGTGAGAGAATAAATTTATGTCTTTTATTTATTTGGGGATTTTTTGTTTTGTTTTTTGTTTGCTGAGACAGGGTCTCACTATGTCGTTGAGACTGACCTGGAACTCACTATGTGGCCCAGGCTGGTCTGGAAATCACAATGATCCTCCTGCCTCAGCCTCCCGAGTGCTGGGATTATAGGCGTGCACCACCACACCCAGCTTTTTTTGTTTTGTTTTCTTTTTGGTACCACATTTGAACTCAGGTCTTTGCACTTGCAAAGCAGGTTGTGGAACCACTGAGCTAAACCCCAGGCCCTTGTTTTGTTTTTTTTTTGAGACAGGGTCTCACTGTGTAGTTGAGACCGACCTGGAACTCACTGTGAAGCCCAGGCTGGTTTTGAACTCACAGTGATCCTCCTGGCTCAGCCTACAGTGCTGGAATTACAGGCATGTGCCAACACGCCCAGCTTTATTGGGTTTTTTGAGGCAGGGTTTTGTAACTCACCATGAAGCACAGGCTGTCCTGGAACTTCTGATGATCCTCCTGCCTCAGCCTCCAGTATGCTGTAATTACAGGTGTGCACCACGACATTCAGCTTACCTTTAATTTTTTTGTGTACTAAGGATTGAACCCAGGGCCTTCACACTAAGCAACTGTGATAGTTAACTGTGCTATCAGCTTGACTGAGAAACACCCAGCTGACTGGTTGAGCACGGTTCTGGATGTGGGTGATGGATTTACTTAAGATTGAAGCCACAGCCTGGGCATGGGTGGCACCAACCAATAGGCTTGGTGCCTGCATGGGATAGGAGGGAGCGAGCAGGCAGGCTTGCTCCTGCTTCTGTGGAGAAGCTCCAGTCTGTGCCTTTGTCTTTGGTTGATCTTTTTTTTTTTTGTACTGGGGATCCCAGGCTGGGCTCAAACTCTTGGCAATCCTCCTGCATCAGCCTCCCAGAGTTCTGGGATTACAAATGTGTGCAACCATGCTTTTTTTTAAGTAAAGTTGTACCTTGGTTTATGAACTTAATTTGTTTTATGATTTTGGGGAAGTTGCTGTGGTTATGTTTTTCACCCAACTGTGGTGTTTGTGAACAGAAGCATTCGTGAACCAAGGCATTATTCTGTGTGTTTATATTTAAATATAATTAAATCTGTTCCTCTGGTAAACCCTAAGTGACACAGCTACATCCCAGCCCTTTTTTATTTTGAGACAGAGTCTCAATAAATTGCTAAATTGCTCAAGCTGGGCTCAAATGTCTGACCCTCTTGCCTCAACTTCCTAGAGTGCCAAAGTTAATGTGTACTACTATGCTCAACTGAGAGAACAAATTAACTGCTATTAGCCAATGAGTTTGTGGTATTTGGTTACAGCACCCCTAGAAAACTAATACAACATCAATCAGAGCTGAGTGTGGGGGCGCATGTCTGTAATCCCAGCACCCAGGAGGCTGCGACAGGAGGATCCTCTACAGTTCAAGGCCATCCTGGGCTACACATCCAACTAACCAGCCTAACTACATAGTGAGTGGGCTGGGGATTTAGCTCAGTGGTTCTGCTGCCTACCTTGCAAGTGCAAAGACCCGAGTTCGGTCCCCAGTACCAAAAAAATAAAAATTAAAAAAACAAAAAAAAACCTAACTACATAGTAAGACAGTGTCTCAAAAAAAAACAAAACCCCCTAAACCATCAGTTGGACTTTGGCTTCCCCAGGAAATGTGTGTACTGCCCCATTGAACAATGAAGGGCCTCTCAGAGTCTGGCCATACAATATTGAAATTAATGACTAGCGCAATGGACCAGCACCAGTATGTGTCCTTCA